GGCGAGGGAAATTTTTTTTCCATAAGAATATGGAGGAAATCGAATATCAGCGATATCTTCACATTCAGATAATACAGGAGGACGTACTCGACAGAAAGCTTTAATATTTCCTTTTTGATCATTAAGATTTCGACGAGGAGGATCACGTTTTTTAAGTTTACGATGGTTAATAGTTTTTTTATGAGATTGAGAAATATTATTTGTAGATAAATCTAAATCATTTTTATAATGATTAACATCAGAATTCGAATTTGCATTCATGGATTGCATAGCTTCACAATATTGTCGAATACTCATTAAACCATCTTTAATTTCAGCCATATGAGCATCTTTATAAGCAGTATGATCATCAATTTCTTCATAATCCATGAATTGATTATGATCAGCTTTATGATCAGCTTCATAATCAACTTCAGGAGTAACATCTTGAAATTGCATAGTATTATTAAGAGCTTCAATTTGTTCTTTGATATATAATTCAATCTTAGCTCTAAGTATTTCATTTCTTAAATTCATTACTTCCAACTCAGAAGAGGTGAGTTTTGACTTTGGGGGAAGATGTTTAGTTACAGGTTCGAGAGGTTCAGAAAGATTTGTACGAAGAGAAGAGAAATTTTTCAAAGAACCAGTACATATAGTAGATCTTTTTGAAGGAACACTTGTAATATCATCATTTTGAATATTTCCAAAAGATCTTATATTTCTATGAAGTTCGTCGGCTAAAAGTTCATCACTCTTCCGTTTTAAGGAGGGAGTTCGGGTATGATAGATAGACTGTGTTTTACGTCCTTTAGGAGTAAAAGAGACATCACAGCAGACCTCCTTCATCTCATTGCCAGTAGAGGTAGAATTTTCCGGAAATTTTGGTAATTTAACTTTGGCAAATGAGGAATAATCATTGTATTCGAGATCAAGCAATTTAGAAGATGGAGCTTGGGCTTTTCTTATCTTGCGAGTAGTTGAGCCGACTTTATTAGCGTTGCTTGAAGTAACTTTAAAAGGTTTATTCGAATACATTATGATAATCTTCTTACTAATAAATGTAAAAAGAAATTACAAAGCGACAGAATGCTTTCTCGTAAAGAATGCTTTCGTCAAATAAAAGAGAGTAAGTTTACTCGGGAAGAGTGGTCGCAAGACAATTACTAAAAAGTGGGGTAAGGAAACAATCACGAAATTCAAGACATTTTATAGCTTTAATTAAACATGTGAATACAATATAATACAATATAGTAAAATATAATAAAACATAATAAAATATAAAAGCAGTATAACAGATCATAAATTTACGAAGACTGGACAGCACAAATGATTAATTAAGAATTTACGCAGTCAAACAAGATTTAAGTATGAAGTGGTGGCATTAAACAGCATACACAATTATTATTAATGTACGTACGTGCTTAGAATAAACATTTTTAATCGGTCCATTATACCTCTTAATACAGATTTTTTGTAAACAAACAATGTACGTACGTACAAGCATACAATCTACTTATTTGGTTTAACATATTTTTTTTTATTCAAAGATTATTAGTTGTATATGTAAAAGGAATTTGTAAGGTCAATTAGCTTATCTTTGAATTCAAGACGTATGAATAGTTTAATTATAAGCATTAAAAAAAATAATTTAAAACTATTTGTTATCAATATGCCAGGGATTAAAATTAAAAATCATATGATATTAATTTGCATTCTGATTGGTTAAATCATAGTAAATGCAGGTTTCATTACAGTTTGTTGTACAAAATTCAGTAATTTTACTGGTTCCGGACCTTGAGTTATAGGTCGGAAAAACCAATTGTAAAAATTTAGACATTTCTTAGCTCGTATTCATTGTATTCAATAAGTTTTTTCTAGTAAGCAAGCAATTAAACTATTCAATATTCACCAAATAACTATATTGATATGTATATAGAGTTTGATTTTTGGCTCTTAATAAAAGATGTGAAAACTTTATTTATAAATATGTCGGAATTAAGGCTTGCAGAATCATGAGTACACAAATAGTGAACAACGCATTCTTGAAAGAGAAATGATGCGTTGAATAAAATTGACTACATATATGCTAACAAACAAATAAAAAAATATTTAACCATTTTCATTAATAGTAATAATAATAATAATAACGCAATAAATACGTAATAATTTTCCAAGTTGAACAATAAAAGAATTAGTTTTGTATGGTTCATTTCT